TTTGAAACGATTAAATACGGAAATAAGTTACACTTGCCCAGTAAGAATAATACACTTAACGCCGAAACGAAAAACTAAAAGTTAGTAAAAAAATCATAAAATAACTAATGGAGTCATTTACTTTCATAAATAAATTTATTTAATATAAAAATATAAGTTTCATACTTACCCCTATAACTTTTCAAAATCGACCTATGAAGATAATAATATGAATTGTATTCTGATTACATATTCAAATGAATAATAACAATAAATTTATCTGTTTACCAGTACTTATGTGGGTCTACAGGGATATCTCCTTACGTGTGAACCTAATATCTAATTTCTCGATTGACCGGTCGTCCATATACCTCATCTGGTAATGGGCGCCGAATATACCACCACCTCAATACCCTTCCGGTATGAGGGAAACTATACCTCTTAACATCTTTCGGTATGAGACTTTTCTAATATTTATATGTTCTATTAGTTGAAAATATTGTGCTAACGTTCGTACCCACCAACATTGGAGTCGGGATGTTATAGAAAAATACTCTAAAAAGGCCAAAAAATATGTTTTTAAACTTTTTCGGCCAATTTAAAGTTCCAACATGACGTTGGCTCTGTCGCTCAGTTCTTCTCAATCTAACTATTTTTTCTGGTTTAGACCAGTTTTGGTCAGTTTTGCATGGAAACTTACAAAAAATAAGGTTAAGGGGCCTTTGTCAGCTAGAAAAAGGAAAAATCGAGACCCTACCGACAAAAAGGTCCCTTGGTGCAGCGGCTCCGCGTTCCTCCTTGCAGTTAAGGTGTTTCTTCAACTAGCCTGCACCATAAAGGAACGAGGAACACAATGGTCAAAAAATTAAGAAAAACTGAAAATGGGAAGGGGCTCATCAGAGAGGGTTTTGGGTTTTGGCCACGGCGGCTTGGTTGAGCTCTGCTTCTGTTTTTCAGCTCACATGTCCGTCTTTTGGCTCCAATATGTGCATAGAGAGGTTCAAGATTAAATTCTGAGGAAATAGGAGGAGAATCTTACCTTTTCAGCATCAGTGGTGGCTCCAGTGTGACAGCGACGGTGGTCGATCTCTTTCTCCGACGTCTGGTTCACTTCCCGATCGTCCTTCTTCTTGTTATCCGGTCACCCCTCTATCGGCTAAAGTTTTGGTTTCCTGCGAAAGGGAGTTTAAATACTCTTCTCTATTAGATCTGGGTCGTCCATTCAAGGCAACATGGCCCATCCGTAGCCATTAGATCTCTCTTATTTAGGAAATTAATCTGGGCTGCATAATTTGATCAAATCCAACCATTCGATCGCGTTTGAAGAGAGAACACGTCTGGGCCGTCCGTGCATGCGGTATGTAAACTGGGCCATGGGATTCGCAAGCATGCGGATTGCTCGTGTAGCCTCCCACATAGAACTGATGTCAGCGTGTTTTGTCATGCGGCGCGTTCTGACTCGTCGTTGTTGCTGACGTGGTCGTCCCCACATGGCC